AAAAAAAAAAAAAAAAAAGAACCTGTTCGATACAGTCCCTGGCAGACTGATACTGTGTATGACATACGACTTGAGGAAAACGATGATCTTTTGTCAGCGTTTGTGCACTATACTCTGTCTCGAGGAGGAAGGTGTACGAAGGTACATACAACCAGGCTCGAATTCGCATACTAGGCAACGTTCCCCTCGTCCTTCTTGGTCGCCGCTCGACTATATTCCCGGGGCTGCGTTCCCAGCACAGCAACTTCAGTCTCGCTCTCTACCGTCTGCATCCTGGAATGCGGTTGTTCCACTCTACACCGATACTATACAACCAGCTCTCCCATTCGCTACCAGCCGAGCCGCGTACGCAACAGTGTTTATGACATAAGAAATATTACAATATCTGGATGGGGATGAGACTATACTGTTATCCTCCGTGTTTCCTTTACTTCTTCTTTCCTTTCTTTCTCTCTGATCGTGGAAACCTTTGCATTTGACCACACGATCCGTGACATGTGACACCAGCTCAGCTTGGTAATTGCGTCGATCGGCGCAATCGTCACGGAAGAAGGCTGCTCCGTACCGGCCGTTTGTTGAATTCGTCCTCGACGTCGCGAAGATCCGGCGGATCTGCGAACCCGCTGTCTTCGTAACGGGCGCATCGCGATCCAGGCGATCGCGGCTGGTGCATCGTATGTATGCTGGAACAGAACGATTTTCTCGACAATATTAAGGAAAGCGAAGGTCTGTGTTACATTCACCAAATTCCGCAGTTTGGAACAAACCAATCTTTGATGACGTGTATCGACACATATCCTCTGCTCGATAGTCTTATTTTATTTTATTTTTAATCCCCCTCTGCCTCACGATTTTCTTTTTCAATTTTAAGGAAGCATTACCTATTAGTCGAAGTATCGAAACGTTGCATGCAATTTTTATTTGTCAACGTTCAGTTTAATGAAATTTCATTTAAACTCTGTTAAATTTGAAATTTCATAGGTTTACAATTTATTTATTTATTTTCAGTGTTTCTCAGTATTTTATAATACAGCTCTTAATGCATTAATAATTCATAGAGTCTCTTGTTGTGTAAAGTATTACTTAATTTTGAAATAAAGTTCCAGTTTCGAAACAAATATAACAACTTGTCTTGAGATTATAATTTAAATGACAGCAATTGAAGTAATTATATTTTTGCCTGAATAGAAATTGATATTAATTTTTAAAAGTATTCTCATCTTTTAAGCAACGGATAGCGTTCTAGCTGCAGTTTTAACCCTGCATTCCCTCCAATATTAATAAAATTGCGAAATTATTAAATATAAATCGTTGCGATCGTACTAAGAAATTCGAAAACAGGAGATACGTTACGCTGATTTGATAGACGGGAAAATTCGGAATTTTAAAAAGACAGCAAGCAAACAAATGTAAGAAATGTGCAACGTATATACTGTAAGAAAGTAAGAAATACTAAATGGTACGCAAGGATGTACAAAATTTACATTCTCTTCTTTCGAAGATACCAAATTGGCAAGTAGTATTTGCAGTGTCTCATAATGTTCAGCGCGCTCATTTTCAAAAATTAATGGAGATAGCATTGATTCGAATAAACTGACGCACCGATCGCGTGGAATTAAATAGCGAGACAGTGATGCGTAATGGAAAATTGTTTAGAATAATCTTGGCAACGTGTTTTCAACGTCACTGAAATCTGTAACGAGCACTCTGTAAGTAAACAGTCACTCGCTTTTTCTGTGACACGATCGTTTCCTGCCTCGGCTTTTCATCGCGGCAGCTGATATTATAGTAAAAAATATTGTTATCTCGTCGCGCTGCACTGATAAAATATCGCGTCGATTGTTGTGCATGCTTTTTACACGAGTTCCTAGAAGCACGAAGGGGACTCGTTTCAATCTCGAAGTAATCGCCAATAATGTCGAAGCGGGGGATTTTACCTGGTGCATCTGGAAGGACTGGTCGTGTCCAATGGCTCGTCGTATCTGCGCGAGAGCATGGTGAAGTCACGGTGCGCGGCCACGATTTTCTGCAGCCGCGAAATTATTTCGTAATCAGGTGTACAGATCGGTTCCGACAATAATTTCACCACAGAAACACGGAAACTTTGCAGCTGGAACAGGAAACGTACGATTTAATTGCTCGTTATCGTGACTAGAATATCGATACACA